ACACACTGTACTGCACGCTACCCCTCCGACTAATGCCATTTCCTAAGTACTGTGAACGTGTTCCTAATTTCTGGAATTGCCTAGACGGAGTGCACCGAAGAAGAAACAGCAAATCACACGTCAGTAACATGGATATACAAAATAATAGGAATCGAAGTGGATGATGTGAGTGACGTTTTATTATCCTTGTTGTATGCTCATCATAAATACTTGTGTATTTTGACGTGTCTTCCAATTATTTTATTTTCGTCCTCGGAGACATTCCATAACATGCCGTCATAAACAGAGTCTGGAAGCAGTTTTTCAATAAATCCACCTCCCGCAAAGTTTTTGTACGAAGCCATGAAATCATTTCCAGCTGATTAAGCCACTATTAGTATTCATATTACTGATGCAACGAAACGCAGGATTTGATACTTCTTACATAACAAATACAATGCTTGCGATAACATTCCGTAGTTATCTCTTCATTGTGCTGTTAGTCGTATAAGTATAAGAAAAAAGTCTAATTCGTCATACTGGTTTACAAAAATGCTTATACTAAGTGCCGACACTTCCACCCAGTACGACGTCCTACTCGTGCTCTTTGAAAATCTTTTGCTTTATCCGCAAATAACTATCAAACTATTGTTATGTGAAATATTGAAATAGAAGTTGTATGCACTCTGGAAGTTAAGGTGCATTTTCAGTTACTGATTCAATTTTTTTCCTTTACGTTCCCAATGAACATAGGGCTTCAAGCTAGTGGCCTGAAGTTTCTCTAGCAGCGTTAATTCTTACAGAATGGGGTTTCTAGCCTCATGCCCAACCTTTCCTCTTCACCAGCATTATTTCTGGCTTAGCGAGGTAAAGGAGTGCGTCGGCCGGGGATCGAACCCCGGACCATATGCATGGTCGGCGAGCGTCCTAACCGCTATGCCACCAACGCACACAATATATATGTTCATCTTTTATTTTCAAACAAGAAAATTTTTAAAGTAATTTAAGGTCGGGCGCAGTGCGTTAATTGGATATTCGCTAATGTACATATATATCTCCTGAATAGGTGCGATGCTTCTATTCAGCTGTCAGCGAAGTTGCATATCTTCCCTCAAGTATTTTCCACTGAACTTTCACAAAGCATGTTACCCGGTGGTGGCGGATTCTGTTAAAATCATCTGCTACAAATTCAAAGTGCTTTGTCAACTGAAAGTGGCAGTAGCGATACTATCAGAAGTTTGACTCACCTGTAAAGTGAGGAATTTGAGCGTAACACAGCAGAATATGCAGCATATGCGTCGGTGGCACAGTGGTTAGGACTCTAGCCGACCATGCACATGGTCCGGGGTTCGATTCCCTGTCGATGCACACCTGATATCTATGGTCGGCCTGCAAAATTTGGGCTACCAATATTACATGCTGAAAATTCCATACGGTGTGGTATCAAGCTGTAATCAGAAGAAGTATTCTTTGTACCCTGAATTTTCTGAAGATACAGATGGAAGTTGTGAAGTCTATTTGGTGCAGCTAACTACTGTCATTGATGACAGCCATGTCACCGGTGTACAACCCAGTGTTCATCTGACTTCTACGGCTGCGGTCCTTGGCAATTATTTTAGCGGCATAAAGAGTGAGGCTTCCCACTATAATTACAACGGGTCTTGGTGGTTGGTATTAGTGAATCCGATGGCTTTCAGGAATGGTTTCAGCATCTCGACGTTTCTCTGCACACATACGCCACCTATACGTTCTGCACTTGCACATATGCAATGGATCCCTCCTGTGAAGATACCTTTTCAGGTTTCTGGGAGAGCTTCCAACTCTATTGTTTGTGTTGTTAAACAGCAACAGAGCAACAGATGTCTTTGTTGGGCAACCATAAGTGACTTACGCAATTCAATACCCCGCGATCAACGGCTCTGATGACGCTTAGACAGGGGTGAAACCTACACAGTTAGTAACAAATGCATTTACCTTTCAGGTGTTGCAGCCTTAACAAGAAGTTACAAGAACCTGGGGACAAAGGCATTTTGAGTCTAAATTTATCAAGCATAACTTCATTTCAAATAACCTCCTTGCTGAAAGCTTCGCGTACGTGAAACAAGGAGATAATAGTTTTTACCTGAACTTGACAGTTATGCACTGCGGATATCTCACACTTGACCTAATCCACCATAAAAGTTTCTATCCAACATTATTCTTTTGAGCTCTTCTGAGATCAAAACTACATCCAACGACCTCTCTCGGCTGGTCTATGTCAAGAAACAGGTTTTCTCTGACTCACGTTGTCTGTTACCAACAATCGAAACAGGGAATACCAGAATATGATTTGTCAAGCATTCCCAGTATAACTTACCTCTCATTGTATGTATTGTATGTTGGGTCAGTACACATCACTTGTGTATATTTGCGATATTCCTGTACTCGTGAATACAGAGTGAAGCAAATTCCACTAGCTAATCATGTTTCCAAATCTATGCATTCAGCTACCTGGCAGCTTTACCGTATAGTGCGCATTACATCTGGTTTCAGAGAGGTGTCTATCACAAATAACTATAAACTACATCACTTATCCGGTCATGTATCTTTACGTAAATTTTGCACATCTGTTATTGTCAAAATTTTGTCAAATTTCCATTGAGCATATTCCAGGACATTACCAACTCAGATGCAGTTTTCACAATAGGTGTGATAACTTCCTTCTCATCCACGGACAGGCGTTTAAAATAAAGGTCACCTATCATAAGACTGAGTTCACATCTGTATTTGTGAACTGTTCTCAAGGTGCTAACGATAAATTCATGTTCCTTGTGGTGTATACGAAAGCCGAAAAGCTAATCAGTGTATTTCGCACTGCAGAAATAAATCCTAAAATTATTCTGGCTCAACGCGCAAACCTAGACCTCTAGTTTTTCGCTATATTCCATGAGTAAAACCAAAGGCTATTAATTTGTACCTAAGTCCTGAGATTTATGATTCCACATGCATCTTTTTCATTACATAATGTTTGTGAGCTGCCTAAGAATATTGCATAATATATAAAACACACACTGCTTCTAGCTGACTTATGACATCTACTTCAATCCGACTGATATGCCTGTGACTGGAAATAATTCAGTTAGGAGTTCTTTTTGTGTCCATTAGTATGGGGACAGCAACTTGGCTACTGTTGCCACCAATTGTAGGCGCGCTCACCACATATCACTGTAACTAAAAACAGAGATCTTTTTTGAATTAAATCTTCATGAACTATCAATAGTTGATGGTTAACAACTTTAAAGTTACATGGACACAGAAACTGTCGTGAAATTCCTCACCGAATCTATAGTTTCGCTAAGTTCCTGATTATGGTCACAGACACTTAGTGAAACATTCTTGAACGACAAATATGGACACAAGCAATAACACTGCATAGGAAATATTTAGACCCCAGTCGCAGAAATATACACCAAGCTTGCCAGGTACGTCTAATGATTCCTACATGAAACAAATATTCAAGCATCTTGCTACGTAAACAATGCATTCACACTTAGAAACAATGTTGAGCGGATATTCTTAACGAGATCAACCCGGTTCAAGCCAAATAAACATTAAAATCACGTCAAATACAGGAGCCTAAATCAAATGAAGCAGACTATCCCCAATGTGAATCAACTAAAGCTCGCACGTAGCTCTACTTCAAAAAAGGGATATGCCATATAATCACCCGAGCAGGTGGCCAGGCTGCTCTTAACACCGTTCCGACTAGAGAAGGGACGATGTGACCTTTATGGCTGTTCAAAAGTGTGTTTACTGCCAATGATATGAAGTGAGTGCAGTGATACACGATCATATCACATTACACATCCGCGCCCATATTCCTTGAAAACCTAATCCTTCACAAACCGATCCAGTTGGCACAGATAAACGAAATGACTGTTGAAAGGGAAATGATTGTGATACAGTTGAGTGGACGAAATTCTGTGACCTCCTACACCACTTCATGAAAACCCACTAAGGATAGCTCATGAAAAGGCCCAAACCACAGTGAATTCCTATTTTTGTCCACTTCAGGATCTCGTCTCTGCAATATTTCCCGCTGTCCTGGAAGCTTCTGAGTCACTCGTGAAGAGCTTGAAGTAGAAACCGGATAGTCATGCAGCAACTCAGACTATATGCAACTGACTATTAATCTCGTCTCAGTAAGACGTAACCATTACATGCTCAAGTATGCCAATGGGTTTTCAACTGAAATTGAGATTCGACATTCCTGAAATCCACCCAGTTCTTCTCGTTTCACTCTTTCGTCTACTCTTCCCATTCACTTATTGATTTATTTTAATTCTGAATTATCTATTTGCGTATTTCTCAATCTCTAAAATTATACATAAATGCTATTATTCATACATTATTACAATCATCTCATCCTTTTTAGCTGCACTGAACGAGCAAATTCGGTTACATCAGTGCCGCGATCTTGATTCAGATCATAAACTATCTTTAATATGCAATGAATCAACATTGCAACCATTTCTGTTGTGGGCCTCAAAAGCTAAGCCTGGTGAACTGCAGCATGGACTACTCAAAAACTCAGGGAATATCAAGAAACTCTACGTTGACAACAAGAAGTGGTCTGAAAGACATCAGATTTACATTAGCTCGCAAAAGTGACGCTGGGTAATGGATATGGAAGTGACAATCCGTAAGACATTTATTATTGTATTATGACAAATGATATCGCCGACCGCTTGGAAAGTCAATGCCGCAGTAGTCCGTAATGCAGACACCCGTACTGTTCGTAGTTTTCACAGAAAACAACGTTTCAGCTACTGATATTTTAGCAGAACTAAGAGATATCTTCTAAGAACAAACCCCGAGAAGTTGAAGTATGAAGAATAAATATATTTTCTACGCTTACTTTAAGTACCTTCGCGAAATTTTGTTGTCAGACAGCTAAAAACGTTAGCGATAAATATAATAAGGATTCTCTGCACGCAGTAGGTAACAGAAGAAATGGTTTGTTTTAATATATCACTTGAAAACTGTAGCCAATAGTAAACCTCAACACAAGTTTAAGTCAGACAAAATCCATTCAAGTGCAATTATGCAAAAAGGATCAAAACTTTGTATATGTCAGATATGTAATTGTGGGTAAGATTGATTTACTTATTTTTCCTTGATTTCATCTATACTTTGATTTGATTATCCAAAATATCTCCGTAAACTTACGGAATCATTAACGGCATACTTATATTATATTTTTCACAACTGACATCGTTTAGCGTCCATATTTCAGCGCAGATACTTTAAAGATGTACTCGTCGGGCTTACTGCCAGATTGTTTCTTAATTTGGTGGGACTATTCATGAGACGTAGAGCACTACATTATAACATTTCCTAAAGGGAATTCAGTGGTAATTTTGGGAAAAATAATGTATTTTTCTATACTTCCTGCCATTCTTTACCTGCAGAAATGTATGTTTCTACTGTCCAATGATTCGGATTTATTAAGGATTGAAGGATATGTGAATCATTTTCCAATTAATTTATGTACTTACCCAAACCCTTCTTGAATAAATCTGTTGATAGAGCTGACACCAATTCCTCTGAAGGTCGGTTCCAGAAAATTATGACTCGGCACGAGAACCATTACTACTCAGACGTATAGTTTAACCTCGGCTTTTGAAGTATTCTACTATGTTCCATGAGGTGTTCTGGCCTGGTGGGAAAGAAGAGAAAAAGTAGATCAGACCGGTTGTCAGTGCTCCTTAAGACAAGGGGTAGCTGTCTGGGTGTAGTTTTCCAATCTTGACCTCACAGGAGATATAAATAAATAAGTGAAGATGTCTCTGGTGATTCTAGTAATTGCTCTGCGTACTGCTCATGAAAATCTAGAAATACTAGCGCCAAAGTGTGCTATCAGTCAGTCAGAAAATAATGATAATAATAGTAACTAGCAAAAGGCTTGCTGATTTATACTTTTGCTGAGACAATAATGAGGACGATAAACACTTTCACTATCAATTTTAATTATCATTACTGTCCTTTTTGTATACTAAGTATTAAAGGACTCATCCCATCTTTCTCTGCACTTCTAGAAACAATAAGCCAAAGATTCTTAATTTTTGGAGCAGAGTGACTGATAATAGATTCAGATGTGTTCTTCCTATCTAGAACTACGTAGCGAGAGTAGAAGTGCATTGAAAATAAGTCAATATTATGCGGACTAGTCCATGAATCTATTGATCATTAGTCTGAATCATAAAAGGAGGTATAGGGTTCAAGTCACCTGATAAACTTGTAATTAGACACTCTAGATAATATGACTCACACTGTTCCTCACCTTATTCCCCTATTGGTTGTAAAACACTATCCTGCATATTTGCCTAGAGTTTTTGCCTCATCCGTTTTGGAAAATGCATTATCTTTTGTCAGATTATTCGTATTCCCTTGCATACTCTTCTTTCTCTCACCCGGTACTTTTTGTGTAGCTACGACGTGTAGTAACTGAAACCACTCAGCATGAGCGATCTTGTTTTCGTCAGTCTGTCTCTCTATTTGCCCATCCATCATACTCAAGTGAATAGTTTTTAAGCTTATACAGAAATCACGCAAAATAGCTAGGTGATCGTGCTGGAAATTTGACTGCAAGTATTTTATTCAACACTAGTATGAAGGACTAAGCGCATGAAACTGGTTAATCATTAGTGACCAATCACTGTACTTACTACAGTCTTACAATAGGTCATCAGTCGTGTGATCGAATAGCTCAGTTGTAAAACGTAGGACTATAGCACTGCTTGACATGGGATTCAAATCTCAAATGGGATATGAATTTATTCAAGGTTGTATATACTCCTGACTTCATGGCTTTTAGCTGATTGCCTCTAGCCATCTAACATCATAAAAGCTTCCTATGATAGTTACTTTTGAAAAAGTACTATAACTTATTTCCCACATGAGCACTGAAACCCTGAAAAATGTTTTCACCATTACTTTTGTTTTCCCAGCAGAACACATGGCTTCAAGATTATTTAAAGTTTCACTAGCAATGATACTGTTACTCTTCACGAGAGGTGTAAGCTGTTAGGCCTTCACTTTCGAAATTCACCCTTTTCTGGGCCTGCTATAGGCTAGTTAGCTAGGTGAAGTTAGGCTGGGAACTATGCGTACAACACAAATTACAAATTTACTGAAGAGGAAAAAAATGTTTACTCCTTGTGGAGGTTTGATATGTAAAAGCTTAAAGATTATTTTTTTTCTTTCATCAAAACTCCACTGTCAGTGTGCTTGAAAATGATCTCAGAGTTATTTTTTAGCAGTCTGTTACATTCGGGAGGTTCCAAAACGATGTAAATAAATTCTGTTTGATGACTGACATTTATATGATATACAGAAATTTTGATTAGTAGGAATTTTAGACATTTTTCCTGAATACTTAAAGCAATTAATGCTAAGAAAGATTAGAAGCCCAGCACGTTGGAAGCGGATAAATACCATCACACACTAAACTCATATGCTGAGCTCAACAGTCTTCAACCATAGGTTCTTAATGTCATGACACAAATTCATACCCAATGCTGTAGATGTATTCACTCACTGTGACCTCCTAGATATATTAAATTCTCATTAGTCCCCATATGCTAGTTCTTTCTTTGGTAGATTTCCATTTATTGCGGTTTCTTTGCCTTTCATATTTTTCTCTGCCTTTATTTGTGATTTTGTAAAGTGTCTCAACCTGATCTTATACCTTTGTTGAGAGGGGCAGCGGCTTGACATTCCTATCAGTGGAGTTTCACAAAATCACCGATTGATTTTCTCTCATTACTTAACAGTTTCATTTTCAAGTATTGGTTTTTGTAGAGATTTTTTTTGATTGGTTACAGAATTTAAGCATTAGCTGAAATCAGTTAGAGAACCACTGGAAAACCTGAGAGTGTTGGACAGCTGTCTCATCCTAGTTTAGGACTCTTCAGGACTCTTAGAACCCCGATGGTTGCGTACTGATGAGGAGTCCAAAACTAGGATGAAGCATCTGTCCAATACTCCCACGTTTTCCAATGGTTCTCTAACTGATGTCAGCTCATGATGAAATCCTCCAACCAATTTCATTTTCATTAACTAGATTACATCACCTTACACGTGGAACTGAATGCAAATATCTATGGTAAGAAGAATGCAGTCTCCTTATATCTTCCATTTCAAACAAATATATCTTACAGCCACAAAATAAGGGAAAGGTGACAAGTGCTGTAGACTACACATTTTCCCTGATAGTTAGATAGAATAAGTAAATAATTGTCATTTTCTGTAACTACATGACATCTAGCAAACGAACTATAGAGTGTTCATATGTATATCATTTTGTTCATAGTATTCTGTTAGCCTACAGCATAATGCGATAGGCTTCTTAGGACTAGTCTGACTCTCTCAGATACCTGTGACTGACAAATACTGTTGAATGGAAGGAGTTCAGTCGACTCGATGATAGACTTCATCAGTTAAAGAACCAGGAAGCACTGAACTGCTGTTTCGTCTTGGCCTGGGACTCTTCAAAAGTTAATACTCACGACCCCACTGGGAATGGAACACAGGAGTAGGGTGAATTAAGTCTTTACACTGAATTCTCCAAGCAGACTGGCTGTGCCACTTACTTTCACATTGTTCAATGATGCCATTTACTTGGAAATCAAATATTACGGTTTATTATAAATATAAAGAGCTGCTGTTAGGGCTTAATTATTATTCCCTTGGGTTCCAAGTAGAACACAATGCTTCAACAACACATCTCCATTTTATTCTATTCTCCGCTGTCCTCTTCAGCTGGCTAGCTCCACGACTGACCAAATTCACACGATCTCCTTCATGTCACCCTCGCACTGACAATTCAGTCGTCTCTTTCCATTGGGTTTACACTCGGGCGATGACGTGTATTGAGCGCGACTTCATTCGACGGCCTTTTCAGTGACATATGTCTGATCAGTGCACCTTCACTGCGCTTGACGCATTAACAAACAAACACACAATAGGGTGGGTGGGAGAGGGTTAAAATTCTAAAAAGTAATATAGGTAGGTGGAAAGAGAGGTTGATTACGGAATCCTTATTCATCGAATCTACACCCAGCACATGCAACAGAAGTGACTCAATGCAAATACCAGAAATATGGAAGATATTATTACCACCGGTCAAATCAAAAGAGGATGATAAATAGTCTTAAAATTCTATTCCATTCAAGCACATCATAACATTCTAACAATCAACTTATTATGACTGTAAAAACACTCGTTGTATTTCTCATCTAATTGCAATGGATTAATAACACTCGTACTATTATTTCTGAATGTACATTATCTCATATTGAATTTTATTCCAATATCTAATCGATTCCACACATGTATATAAATGAGGGAAAGAAGTTGTGTGAGTGAGTGACTTGATATGATTATGAGCAATAGTTTGTGCTCGAAACGTCATCAGTTAATATAACTGTACAACACTGTGTGATTTATCAAAATAAAATCTTATCCATTATGGATTTATACTCTACCACAGTGCCCAAGTTTTATACTTATATCAGCCTTCATTTTCTCTCACGTATTTATTTAACGATCGACTCTTGGCTGGTTTGTTGCCAGCCAGAGTTTCTTGCTGCTAATTCTTCCTTTCTGGCCAGCCGCTCGCCACTTGGTCTTCAGTGTGGAGCCAGCAGTGTGGGCAGCTGTTGAGAATCCCTTTCTTGACGGGTGCGCAGTAAAATTTGATGACCTATATATAAGAAATGATTCACTTCATATATGTGTTGCAAATCCGAGTCTTGTTCCTCATACTGGCTGGGTAAATGAGTGGGTGGAGAAGATTTCCAAACTGGTTTCAGATTGATGAAGGTACATCTTGCCCTTACGATTCTGGTTGGCTGGCTGGCTGGCTCTGACAACTTAATCCGTTTCGCCAGCTATAGTTGAAACTGTTCTTCCTAGATAAATGAAGGAAGTAACCTCTGTTAAATGTCTTCCTTTGATGGTGATTGGTGCTGGTTTTTGTTTGGTTATCTTCATCACCTCCGTATCCACCTTCTTTTTGCTCACCTGAATTTTACTGTATGAGTTTTCTATTTTAAGTAGACAGGGAAAATTTCTTCCACTCAGGATGC